GATTGTCGGTTTGATGAAATAAATTTCCCATAATTAGGAGAAGAGAAAAAGGAAATCAAAAGAGAAATTGTGTGAAAAGTTTCGTCGTTATCTTATTTTGATCCACGTACCCCTATATGTAATCAGGAGGTCCAGAAGAGCATCCATTTACAAAATATAGCAAATCAAATACCATACGCATTTACTAATTTGAATATGATAACTAAGTCACATATCCCTGCAGAGAATGTGCCTATCCGAATTGATGTCTCAGCAGGACCATCTACTAGCATGAGAGCTAGTGAACCTAAAGCACGCCTGAAGCGTGGTAGGCCTTTGGGTTCTAAGGATCGAAATCCTCGAAAAAGAAAATCGACAAATGATAACGATACTATGAAGGGATCTCCTGAAGAGACCCAAGATCTGATTAGTTCTGAGATTCCTGAAAAAAATCAATGAACCCAAGACTCAAGTGAGCGAGAAACTTTTAATAAGTTCTACTGGTGATGGGATTAATTTAAATCGATCTGAAATAGTGGTGGATAATATTTTTGCATATAATGTTGCACTTAGCATTATGGAAGATAGTGAGGATTTTGAACCCCGATCTGTCGAAGAATGTCGACAAAGATCTGATTGGCCAAAATGGCAAGGGGCAATTCAATCAGAATTGAACGCACTTACTAAAAGAGAGGTCTTTGGACCAGTAGTCTAAACACCTATAGGTATAAAACCAGTTGGTCATAAATAATTTTTTATGCGAAAAAGGAATGACAAAAATGAAGTTGAAAGATACAAGGCTCTCCTTGTCACACAAGGATTCTCACAACGACCTGGAGTCGATTATGAAGAAATATATTCACCCGTTATGGGTGCCATAACATTTCGATATCTCATCAGTTTAACCTTACGTGAAAAGCTTGAAATACATCTAATGGATGTGGTTACAGCTTATCTGTACTGGTCACTTGATAATGAAATTTACATGAAAATCCCTAAAGGATTTATAATGCCTGAAGCATATTCAAAATCTCAGGAAATATACTCAATCAGATTACAAAGATCTTTGTACGGTTTAAAGCAATATAGGTGCATGTGGTATAATCACCTTAGTGAATATTTGCTGAAAGCGGATTATATAAATGATGTTATTTGTCCATGTATTTTTATAAAGAAAATGACATCCGAATTTGTTATACTTGCTGTTTATGTTGACGAAATAAATCTTGTTGGAACTCCAAAAGAGCTCCAAAAGGCAATTGAATATCTTAAGAACGAATTTGAGATGAAAGATCTTGGAAAGACAAAACTTTGACTTGGTCTGCAAATTGAACGTTTAGCAGACATGATCTTTATCCATCAATCTACCTATACAGAAAGGGTCTTAAAACGCTTTTACATGGACAAAGCACACCCATTGAGTACACTAATGGTTGTTCGATCACTTGAAGTGAATAAGGATTTGTTCCGACTTTCAGAAGAGGATGAGGAATTCCTTGATCCCGAAGTACCCTATCTCAGTGCAATTGGTGCACTAATGTATCTTGCTAATGCTATAAGGTCTGACATAGTATTTTTTGTTAATTTACTAGCAAGATATAGTTCTTCTCATACACAGAGACATTTGAACGTGATTAATCATATATTGCGATATTTAAAGGGAACTCTTGATATGAATTTATTTTATGCTAACAAAGATAGTGCAGACCTTGTTGGTTATGCAGATGCAGGTTATTTATCTGATCCCCCTAAAGCTAGATCTCAAACCGAATACATATTTACATGTGGAGGTACTGTCATAGCATGGTGCTCTACAAAGCAATCTATTGTTGCTACTTCTTCAAATCATACTGAGATAATAGTTATTCATGAACCAAGTAGGGAATGCGTATGGTTGAGATCAATAATTCATTTTATTCGAGAAAAATGTGGTTTGAAATGTGAGAAAAGACCCATAATTTTATACGAAGACAATGATACATGCATAGCCCAATTAAGAGGAAGATTTATAAAAGGAGATAGAACAAAAATATATTTCACCAAAATTATTCTACACACACGATCTTCAGAAAAATGGTGACATTGATGTGCAACAAATCCGTTCAATTGATAATCCGGCAGATTTATTCACTAAATCTTTGCCAACTTCAACTTTTGACAAGATGGTATACAAGATTGGAATGCAAAGACTCAAATATTTGAAACAAAATTTTCATCAGGGGGAGTAAAATACGCGATGTACTCTTTTTTTCCTTACTAAGGTTTTTTTCCATAGAGTTTTCCTTATAAGGTTTTTAATAAGGCAGCTAGCATTGCGTATTACTAAATATGTGTACTCTTTTTCCTTCAATAAGATTTTTTTCCCACGGGGATTTTCCTAGTAAAGTTTTAATGAGGCACATTATCTTTTAATGAACATCCAAGGGGGAGTGTTATAAATATATTATATTATGGATGCTCATTTAGTACTCCATTAGAAAGAAGTTTCCTGAAAAAGCTTATCCATATGAGACTACGCCGTAAATATGTTTATCTATTTAGTACTTTATTAGAAATAAGCCTCTTGAAGAAGCTTATCCTTTCGGTACTCCGTTATAGATAAATATTACCACTGGTAGAAGATTATCTATATCTGGTACAATAGCAGCTTACATGCACCTTACACAACAGCTTGCAGTAACAGCTTACAAGCAGTTTACACAACAACTTGAGCAGCTTACACAGCAACTTGCAGTAGCAGCTTACACAGCAGCTTGCAGTAGCAGCTTACACAACAGCTTCCTTTTCTTCCATAAATAGAAGAGTTTTTAGTTCATTATATACATCAGTTTGAAGTTGAATAATATATCAGTTTCTCTATATACTTGTCTTTACTTTACGGTCTTTATTTAATACGATAAACCTTAATATAAAAGATTCTCAATATCATATTTGCATTTTTCCAAATCCCACTACTAATACGCGACTACTGATTAGTCGGCTTATATGTAAAAAAAAGTATATATATTTCCATCACTATTGCACAACTACTAATTAGTCGGCTTCTTATGTTAAAACAATTATTGCACTCTCCCATTCTGAAACCCAAAAATAATAAAAAAATGAAAAAATTGCAGATGCAAAACGTAGTATATCAGGACGCTAACACCACGCCTATTTAAGGTCAGACTAGAGTTGGCAATAATATTTCTCTCCTACCTTTTGGAGTCTCACTCTATTCTTTCTCGAGTGGGATTTAATTTTATATTTTGAGTTTATTAGTTCTGAATTTTAATATTTTAAATTGATAAAGTAGGATTTTTAATACAAATATAAGTTTTGGGAAGAACTATAACTCCGCCTCAGCATCAAACCCATGCTTAATTCCAGGTTTTGCTCCTTCGCCGCCTTTCTTTCATTTATTTATTTTTTATGTTAATTCTCTTGCCAATGCCTCTGTGTTAAATTTTTGTATTCAATTAGTCTCCTTCTACCTTTGTATTTTCTTTTGTTTTTTTGGGGTTGGTTGATTGTGTGAATTGTGTGAAATTACGACGAATTCTGATGCATTGGACTTATCTTTTTGCTGTAATTAAGAAGTTTTTATGAATGAGATTGCAGTGCTGACTTATTTCTGAATTAAGAATAATGGATTTCGTTCTCTCTTAATTATTCATTTATTATTAATTTCATGTTTGTGATTTTCTTAAGTATTAATTCACTGTTGTTTTATCAGTCTTCTCTAGCAATGGTTATATGCATGAAAAAGAAGCAGATATAATAGACACCTAATATAAGTTTAAGTTTCAGGCACAAACAATATAAAAGTGTTTACTCAACCAGATTTTAGATTACTTATGAAGCGATTCCATGTGAATTTTTATGATAAAAATATATAGATAATTTAATAAAAATAAAATAATCTGCTGTTATGGATTAAAATTCATTCATAATGAAATATATCAATATANCAAAAGTGCAAATATTCCAAAATTAAGGTGTTTGCCCAATCTTTTGCTAGAAGGAAAAAATTTGCTCTTGAGTAAAAGCAGAAGCAATTTTTTAGAAGCAAAAAAATAAAGTAAACACTTCTGAAAAAATACACTTAGAAACGCTTTTTAAAAGCTTGATCAAATTTTAATTGTTGTTCAAAAGTGTCTTTCAAATTAATTAATCAAATACAAACTCTTTCTCAACAAAAGTATTTTTTTTAAAAGCACTTTTGAAAAAAATATTTTTCGATAAAATAAATTATTTTTAAAAACTTGGTCAAATAGACTATTATAAAGTTACTTGAAATAGCTTTAATCGTTGAGTTTTCATTCCTTTTTTTTTTCCCTAATGAGTGCTCTTGCACATGAAAATGAGTTGTCAATATACGTACTAATTATGTTTGTTTTTTTAATGTTTCTTTGAGATTAACTTGGTTGACCGCACATGAACTAGATTAATTTTAGTATAATAGAAATACTAAATTAATGACATCTTGCTATAAAAATGTTTGACTTAAAGTTCACTTTGTTTTGTTGTAATTAATCGCATAACTTCCGGAAAAGGCAAATATCTTCTTTGATCTTGAATCTTGCTGTCAAGTTTCATTACCATTAATTTCATTTCTTCTACAAGTTTCCCCTTCTTTTGGGTGGTCTTTTTGTGCTTTTTTTATAAATTGGGACACCATAACAGCTACTAGGTAACTCTGTCCACTGAAGTTTTGAGTTTGAAAAATGAAAAGAAATCGAGGTCGACCTTGTAATCTTCCAATCACTTCATTGTCCATTAGGTTACATTCAGCGAGATAAGTTATAGTGATAACTATCACCAAAGCCAGGACTATGAGTTTGTGGAAACTTCTTAGCTTGTGTGATTGGCTCAGGGCAGACTATGAGTTCATCTGAATTTATAATTTTCGACAAGGAGCATAGAATATAAAAAAAACCTATTGAAATTTTAGTAAATAATAGATCTCAACTCATAATTTTAATAGTATAATGAATTTAATGTTGAAATATTTATGTTACTTTTTGTTGTTGTTGTTGTTGGTTAACTCCTTTGTTTTAGGAGAGGTTGGGCTTTAGTGCTCTGATTAAGGTCACAAATTTATTGAATTTCTTCACACTTTTAGTTTCTTGTTGTATCTGACAGCTAAGGCATGAAATTGGTACTGGTAGGTTAATATTTTGGTATTTTTAAGTTAAAAATGTGTTTGAAAAGTAACAACAACAATATACCCAGTCTAATCCCATAAATAGAGTTCGGAGAGGATAGTGTGTACGCAGATCTTATCCCTACCTTATAAAGTTAGAGAAGTTGTTTCTGATAGACCCTCGGCTCAAGAAATTCCTAGTAATAAGTTTCATTAACAAATCTTTTCTTAATATAAGAACTTATATTCAAGCAGAAATCAGATCTTCAACTTTCAAATACTCGGTCAAATAAAATAATTTCAGAAAAACGGATGATTTCCAAACTAAATCACCAATAAAATAAGTTTTGAAAAGCGAACTTCTGCACATGCGATATCTTTTTTTCTTTTTTCTTTTTAACATCTTCCTAATTAAGAAAATCTATAGTATTTTCATATTTGTTTTCAGCGTGATTTGAACCCAAAAATTAACGATCATGGGTAAATGTGTTTTTACCGACTGAGCAACCACTTAGCGATAAAGCAAAACAATATTGTAGTAAGAAAGATGGTTGGTATAGACTCTAGTGCGTGACATAGACAGGTATGACATTTATATCATTATGAACTACAAGTATGGACCCTCACCTTCATTATTGGTTCCAACTGCTGTTGTGACTTCTAGTACTGTATTAATTGTTACTGAGTAGATTGAAGGTAGAATTTATGAGTTTTCGGCCAAAAATATTCACATCAGCCCAATATATATAAATATACATTAATCACTACAAACAAAAATTACACACAAAACTGCTACTAATAAATTTGAATTTGCTTTTATATATATGCACCTACGAAAAGGATCCTATTGCAGACGAAACGAGAGTTCTACGTATATCTTCTTGGCACATATAGGCGGATCTATGACGAGTTCTATGAATTCAACTGAAATTAAGATGTATATATCTGATAATCGTTGATCAAACTCATTCTGAATCTGCTGATTTTATATTTTTCTTCTTTAATTTTGAGTTTTTGCTATTCCATATATGAACTCACTTTATCTTGCTTTTTCTTGTTACTGGCTCTTTCAGGATGTTTTGAGACAATCTACTAGAGTTTACAAGTAGTATCAAATTGTGCAAAAAGGAGTTACAGCTCTTTTTAACTACAATTAATTTTGTTGAGATTTAATTAGAGAAAAGAATATCAAGAATAAAGATGGGGTTTTGGACATTATTTGAGGTGGCATCCATGCCAATATTGCAAGTACTCCTCATAAGTATTTTAGGTGCTTTAATGGCCACTGATTATCTCAAGCTTCTTCACTCTGATGCCCGAAGATCTCTTAATAAAGTAAGAATTTTCTTTATTTTCTAAGTATTAATTTTCTTTAATATTTATTTATGGAATATGTACATGCATTGACTTCCTATTTACTACTTACTTTACTATATCATCAATTTCTTAATTTTATATAAATTCAAATCTCGCTATAACAGTCTCATTTGTTCCCATATTTTTGGATGTTATTGTGCAGTGTTGTTGTAGAGAACATATATTATAATATAATATGAAAAATTAGTTCCAAAGAAAATTTGACCATTATAGTGAAGTACTATTATAAAGGATAGCTGTTATAAAGAGGTCTGATTGTATTTTATATGTCTCGATGTAGATAGTGTTCGTGATATTTACGCCTTCCTTAATGTTTGCAAGTTTGGCAAAGACTGTCACCTTGGACGACATTATCTCATGGTACGTACTAACAAATTTGAACTTTTAATTCAATATTAATATTATTCCTTTGGTGATCATGTTTAAGACTAGTCAAAAAGCAAGGTTTGATATTAATACACTAAAGTTCTTAATTAATTATTGTGTGTTAGGTGGTTTATGCCCATTAATATTGGGCTAACATTTCTAGTTGGAGGAATTCTTGGATGGTTAGTTGTGAAAATACTGAAGCCAGAGCTACATTTAGAGGGACTCATTATTGCTACATGCTCAGCAGGTACACATTTGTCAATTTATTGGCAACTTCTTCCACCGCAAAAGAATTAGTTACGCTAAATCGCTTGTAGCTAACGGAATTTTTTGATAATCTATCGCTAAATAGGATTAACAATGAATTATTCTTTTTTTAGTAGTCTTCTAGTTCTTTCTTATACCATTTACCTTTATATTTTACCAGTTTCTCATCTAATAATTTATTATTTTCAAACAGGTAATTTGGGAAACCTTCTTTTGATAGTAATTCCAGCAATTTGTAAGGAGAAAGGTAGCCCGTTTGGTGATCATGGAATTTGTGCTTCTGTTGGTCTCTCTTATGCCTCTTTCTCTATGGCAGTAAGTTCTTATAATAGACTTTTTTTTCTTGGATTATTAATTTCACGTTTGGTCACTTTTATTTTTCTAACCAAAATAATTCTTTTATCATATTAAAGAAACTAAATTTTAAACTTTATCAAATATAACAGTAAAGTCATCCAACTATCTTTTTCCGACACTAATGTAACTAAACTATATATGTCAATTATTTTAATGTGATAATAAAAAAGAGTTTTATAACTTTAATATTTATTTATTTTAATGTGACAAGAAATAGTATTATAATTGTACTGTTATGATGAACAAAGTTTTATGACAATACGTAAAATTCATGCATTTATGGTCTGCAAATCAGTTATTTCTAATTCTATAACCATTAATTTTCTTGATTTTGAAGGTTGGCGGTTTCTACATATGGACTTACACATATCACCTAATAAGAAGCTCATCTGTGAAATTTAAAGCACTAAAAGCAGCTGAGGAAGATGCCTTAAAGAAACCAAATAAGGATTTTGATGCAAGTGAGAAATCTCACCTTCTTGAAGGAGTTGCCCAAGATGATCTTGTTGTTAGCATTTCACCAACAAAATATGACCCTGAAAATCAAACTGTAAAGTTCCCATTCTTTATTTTCGTTACTTTTACGTCTTTAACTTTATCCACTATAACAGTATAGTCGTTAAGCAAGCAATTGAAAGGAAGATTGGATCCTCATAATAATAGAATCACTAAATTTTAACCTCTTTAACGACAAAATCTACCCATCAAGGTGATTTTACTAGTAAAATATTGTGACTTTACTGTTATAATATGTAAAGTTAAACTATAACGTGACAAAAAAATATTTGTATACTGTTATAGTGGGTGAAATACAATTTACTTTTATGTAGCTCAAAATGATTTTGTGATTTTATTGTCATAGTGATTAAAGTTCAGAACGGGAGTCTTGGAGCTACTGTAAAGTTGTTTCCGTATGACCTATAAGTTACGGGTTCGAGCCATAGAAGCAGTCACTAATGCTTGCATTAGGGTAGGCTGTATACATCACACTCCTTGGCGTGCGGACCTTCCCCGGACTCTGCGTGAACACGGGATACTTTGTACACCGAGCTGTCTTTTTTCAGCGATTAAAGTTCAGTAATCGTAATGAAATTAAAAGAAAAAAGCATATTTCTAATTCATCAATCAATGTTAACTTGCAGAAAACATGTGAAAAAGCAGACATGGAACCAAAGAAAGGGGAAGTATTATCATGGAGTAAATTTTTGCACAAAATTGTGGAGGAGCTATTGGCACCTCCAACAGTTGCAGCAGTAAGTTCTGTTTTTTATTTTACTTAATGTTTTTAATTTTCATTTGGAGTGTTCCTACAAAGATGAATAAAAAATAATAATTACTCTTTTCATTTCATTTCTTGGTAAAATCCAGATTATTGGACTTATATTTGGTTCAGTAACATGGTTGAAAAACCTGATTATTGGTAGTGCTGCTCCCCTTAGAGTTATCCAAGACTCTGTCAAATTACTTGGGTATGTTTCAATCTCCATTCTTTTATTCAAGTTGATAAAATCAAATATTTTACTCTTGCAAGAATTAACCTAAATAACTGTCCATACAACCACTTAAACTAAAACTAACCGACGAATATATAATATATGTATAACTCATATGTAATATATGTATAATCAGGTATAATCAGTGTATAAATTATGTATACTGAATAAAAAATAGCAAATTTGGCAAGCTAAAAGGGTAGCCCGGTGCACTAAGCTCCTGCTATGCGCAGGGTCCGGAGAAGGATCGGACCACAAATATCTTTTGTACGCAGTCTTACCCTGTATTTCTGCGAGAAGCTGTTTTTACGGCTTGAACCCGTGTGACCTCTCTAATGTGATTTACATTTTAAATAAGATTAATAGTAACTAATATTCAAACTCTTGCTTCATTACATTCTTGTTTTCTGTGAAATTGACATCTCACCTTCCTCTCAATGCCAGGGATGGGACCATTCCATGTATCACTCTTATACTAGGAGGAAACCTCACCCAAGGTAATACTGATGTCATTTCTTGTCCTGATGCTTAACTGAAAGTAATGATATTTTAGCTAGCATTTTTATGAGGTAGTCATATCGTAGGAATATCTCTTAGGAGTATATAATTTGTGCTATAAGTCTAAGAGTTTAACTTGTATACACCAACGACTTCAAGCATAAAACATTTGAAGGGGAATCTTGGCGTAACTGGTAAAGTTGCGTACGATAGACCCTTGTGATCCGGCCCTTCTCCAGACCCTGTGCACAGCGAGAGCTTAGTGCACCAGACTGTCCTTATTTTAACATGTTTTACCAAGTAACATGTCATTATTTTCAGGTTACTAATCTAACCATTTATGGATAGTTATATATTATTATCTTTTAGGTGACTTGATAGTGTAAAAGATCCTTCACACTGTCAGTGGATAAAATTTAAAGCTCGTTAGTGTTTTAACTTATACACTAAGGGTGGCAGTTTGAGCTCAAATCTATTTGACCCGTCCAACCCGTCCAAGGTTGGGTCGGTCATTGACCCGTCCATTTGTTAAACTCAGTCCATCTTGACCCAGCGCATCTTAGCCCATTTAAAGTTGGGCTGATTTTTAGTCCAAATTAAACAATGATCAACTTTACTAAAATATCTTTAAAATTATTATTTTTTGCTTAATATGTCATATATGACCATAACAAAAGGAAAAAAATCTTATTTTATAAGTAAATAGTTCAGAAGAAAATAATATACATTAATTAAAGCTTGATAAGAGTTTGGTGGGTTAGGCTATTACCCAAATTTTAGTCCATCTTGACATAGTCCATCTCGGCCCAAGTAACTTTTGACCAGCCCATTTATTGACTCAATCCATTTTGACCCGCCCAAAATCAGCCCAACCCGCCCATTTGACACCCGCAGACTATATTAACAATATAAGTAATTCTTACATTGCCGGTGTATCGTAACATATTGTAACATGTAACCTGCCTTAGCTTCTATGTTACTAATCCATTTTTTTATGAACAATTACATATAGTTATCTTTTAAACAATACGAATAATCTAAAAATATTTTACATTGTCTTGTCCTAGTTCTCAGATCTTTCTTTTGAGACAGTGAGAAGTTAACTTCTGCATTGCCAACTTGACAGGATTGAGGAAGGCAAAAGTGAAACCAATGATCATAATAACAGTTGTATGTGTGCGGTATATATTCAGTCCTCTAGTAGGAATTCTAGTTCTTAAAGGAGCTGGCAAACTAGGATTTCTTGCAGCAGATCCCCTTTACAAATTTGTATTAATGATTCAATACACATTGCCACCCGCCATGAATATCGGTACACTTCAAATGCTCTTAATTAAGTGTAAATTTAACATGTTGTAGCAAGTTATCTGTCTTATTTTCGATTAACTGTTGAGAACGATGAACTGATATATTATGATTATGGCGATATATATACTGGTGCAGGAACAATGACGCAACTATTTGACGTAGCACAAGAAGAGTGTTCAGTCCTTTTCTTGTGGACTTATTTGGTTGCAGCATTTGCACTCACTATTTGGTCCACCGTATTCATGTGGCTCTTGTCCTAATTAATGTCACAAGATCGAAGACGAAGATGAAAACAGATCCCTTTTGTTCCCCTCTTGCAAAAATGGGGTGCTTTGAAGTAATTTTCATATTATCATATACATCTAAATGTGGGTAAAAAATGTGAAATATACCATATGGAACTAGGTATTAGAAATATTTCATCCATTCATAGATATAGTGCTAGTGTGTGCTATAATTCTTTTTGTTTTTTTCCCTCCTTATTTTTGATTTTAGCTTCGATTTTTTGTCAAGTAATATTGTCTCCTTTCAGATTGTGCTTATATGGATGGAAAATATATATATAGCCATATTACTTTGACAAAATATATATAGCCATATAGCCATATAGCCAAATATATATGAACCCATCTCAATATGAAATTTCAGCACATTATGCTGGAATCTCATATATAAAAAATTTGAACTCTAGCATATTATGCTGGAGTTTTTCGGACTTTTAAGGGTGCTTTTGTCAGATTTTATCTTTATATGAACAATCGACTAAATTTCAATTACTTTTGAAATTGTGGTTATTTTTCAATTATCAATTGTACATCTGGTTATTTCTGATTTTTCTTCCCTAGATCAACATTACTAAATATTTCAGGTCCACTATTGTGTTGGGTTACTATGGCCTAAAAATACTTTTGATATGATGTGATATTGTTCGTTTTGGGCCAAGCTTATACGGTTTTTTTCGAAAAGTCTCACACTATTAAGGGGTAGTTTGGTATGATGGATAAGAAAAAATAATCCTCGGATAAAAATTTTGTATTGTTTTATCCCTTGTTTGGTTGCTAATCTTAGGATAAGCTATCTCAAGATTAAAAATAGTACTGAGATAACTTATACCTGCTAGAGAGTGGAATAGTAATCCCACGATAAAGCAGTAAAATTGATCATCCCAAGTTTAATACAATGTACCAAATAATCAATAAGAAATAATACAGGATAACAAATCACAATATAAACTTGTCTTCAAACCAAACAACCCCTAAAAATATCCAAACTCCTTATAATTAGCTTATTTTTCTTTTCTACTTTTCATATAAGACTTTGTTCAGACACCCACCCCATTTAAATCTCTATTGAGCTTTCTAGTTAATCTTCTATTGTTGCTTTTCTACCAATCAATCACTTTTTTTATCACCATTTAAAGTCAAGCATACAGGCAGATGTAATAACTAAGAGGTTTGCAATTATCATATGAATCCAAGAGAGAGAACCCACTGCATGAGTACTAATGGGCCTGGGCTTAAACATCACAACTAAAGCCCAATCAATACCTACCTTAGGCCCGTAAAAATTCACTTGTTGAAATATAACAGACATTTGCATAAAATAGTTTAAAATAGAGGATTTTTCAGAAATCACTATTGTTTAGTGGCTATTAATTTCCTATAGCTACCATATACATAATTACTTCCTATAGCTACTATTCAGTTGTTACGGTAGTGTATTCACATGTATTCGCACTGATGTATTCATGAATACAACAAAAAGCGCTTAAAATCAGGGCAATCTAGTTGTACGCGCATGTATTCACATGTATTCGCGCCATGTATTCATGAATATAACAGTAAAAAAATACCTAAAATCAGGACAATCCAGTTATACGCGCATGTATTCACATGTATTCGCACTGCTGTATTCATGAATACAGCGGTAAAAAACGCCTAAAATCAGGGCAGTCCAGCTGTACGCGCATGTATTCGCGTCATGTATTCATGAATACAACAGCAAAAAACGCCTAAAATCAGGGCAGTCCAGTTGTACGCTCATGTATTCACATATATTTGTGCTACTGTATTCATGAATACAGTTGTACGCGCATATATTCACATGTATTCGCGCCATGTATTCATGAATACAGTTGTACGCGCATATATTCACATGTATTCGCGCCATGTATTCATGAATACAGTAACGGCAATCCCTTAAAAATAGGTATGTCCAGTTGTCTAAGAGAGAAGAAAAACATAAATAGCGTATTTCATGCCTTATTTCATGTATATACCATAAAATACTTATTTTGCTATAAAATATAAAAGGTAGCTATAGAAAATAATATTTTAAAATAATTTTAGTTTATAATAAATAGGGTGTATACTTTTGCTATAGGAGGTAAAATTTTCTTTAAAATAGCCGGTTCTTCATTAAAAATAGGGAAAATGACACTAAACGAATTTTAAGAAAAGCTCGTTTAATATGTGCAGTGAGCATTTAGCATGTTTAATTCTGTTGAAGCATATTGAATTTACTATCATTTGCTGATGTTTTGTCAGATTTATTAATTATTAACATGCCCATTTTGAAGAACTAGCTAGCTGAATCCGTTATTGCGTACTTCAACTAATTATTAAAATCGCCTAGAATAATTCTGTTTATTAAAATTTAAACAGATAAAAATAATCATCTTGCATTTTTAATTTGGCGATATTGGTATTTGAAACTTGAAATACACCTTGCTAATCAATGTAAAGCTTTTTCTCAATCACCGACGAAATTCTACAGGTAAAAGGGAAATATCTCCATTCATTCACAAACGAGAAAGAAATGTTTACTTAAGAGATGCAACAAGCTTACCCACCACAAAAGTAGATAAGAATAAAAAAAAGAACCAACAAGAAATTAACTAAATTAAAGTTGGTTTTCCATTTTCACGTTACCAGACATCATGGTAATTATCACTCTTCATTATAATTTAGTAGGTTTTTTAAAATAATAGTGATGTCCGCGCCAGGAAAAAAAAACTTATGATTCAAGAATATTTAAATAAATGAAGTAAAAAATTTCCCCTTTTCTTGTATTTTTTAGGGATACATAAAGTCAAATTTCTTGATAACAATCATATCATTTATAACATTACTTCATTATAACCGTCAAAATTATTTTTTAACCAATTTCTTATATTATGTTAAAATGTATGTTCTTTATAATAGTACTTTGCTATAACAATTAAAAACAGTCGAAATAAATGAGATGGTTACGGAAAAATTTGATTGTATGTTATTGAAAGACAAAAGTTGGTGTGGTACTACTACATCATAGATTGAGACAGCTTATTTTTTCTTAATCCATCTGTCATATCTGTCGTGTCGAAATAAATGAGACTGTTATATTATATATTACAAGAAGATAAAAGCTCGTGGGGTACTACTACATCATATAGATAGAGACTGCTTATTTTTTATTAGTCCATCTGTTGATGAATTCTGTAATGAAGGGGACTTCCAAATATTATTGATGTTCTTTTTCCACATGCTAGAAAAAGATATTATTTCTCATTATCATTCATGGACCCATATTCATTATGCATCTTTATCAACAACAAAAAAAAAGTTTAGGATAGAAGGCAACAACATTTGCCGTGTAAGTAGCCAACTCGCGGCGAAATTAGAAATTTTTTTAAAGGTATTTAAATTTAAAAGAAGTGAAAAAAAAATTATGACAAATGATGTTCAATATGTGTTATATACCTCTAAAACGTAATATTTTATTTATATACACAATGTAATTTTTCCACAAAGGGTAATCAGTTTACCACTCTTGTGACCATGTGGCTTAGCCACTACTTCCCACTCGAGACACATGATAATTAACTAAGTAGGGATTCCATTATGTTTTTTAATAATTGTGATGTTCGGTTTAGTTTATATATATTTTAAGAAGTATTAAGTAATTTTATCTTTTAAGATTTTTTATATATGGGAAGAAATTGCTAAATATTTTATTTTTTGTTGAAATTTGAACCAAAACCTCATAATTTTTAATCCGGATATTTTACAAAGGAGATTTTGGTTGAACGAAAATTTGGTTGACATAGAAATAATACCAAGTTTCAACCAATTAATTTCCAAAATTAAACACTTGATAAGTAATGGAGGTGTCACATTGACACGTTTCTTTCTTTCATTTGGAGATACTTTTCGTACCAAAAAATAGTCAAGGATGAAAAAGGGGTAGTGGCATAATAATCATTCAAAGAGGAAATAGTGGTTTTGTGCACATAAAGATTAGTAAATAAATTGACAGATAATTAATGTTTGCTTATCTTGATCTTGCTGTGATCTTATACAAATAGGCAAACTTTCTGAAAACGTGGTACGAACTAGGAATCAGTAACCTCGCCGACCTAATAAAAAAACACAAAACACGACATCTTTATGCTGTGTTCTCCAGGTTGCTAAAGTTTTCTTTAGGTCATTGTCATAAAAATAAACATAGGTTCATGTCCCCTGGTTCAATTTGGATAGCTAATTAGCTGTACCAAAATTGATGAATACTAAGTGGGCGTTTGGACATAAGAATTGTAAAATTTTGAAAAAAATAATTTTTTTCAAGTGAAAATGTTTTTTGAAAATTAGAGTTATATTTAGACATGAATATAATTTTGGATTGTTTTAAAATTTTTGTGAGTGATCTAGGTGAAAATTAAAAAAAAAAAATAGCTTTTTGGAATTTTTCAAATTTTCAAAAAATTCCAAATTATTCAACTTCAAGTGAAAATTGAAAATTTTATAACCAAACGTTGATTTCGAAAAATAGTGAAAACTTTTCGAAAAAAAGTTAAAAACTTTTCATGGCCAAACAGGTTCTTAACATATCTTAAAATTTTCTAGAGTGCAATTTTGGGAATATTAGGGCCACTTGAGATGTTTGAGTACACAAAGGAGAAAACTAGAGATAAAGTGTATTTATATAGAACAAGTATGACAAAAATATTTATAATGCATAACCAACTATATTTAGAAGGCATACAGCTATTCTTAGGGCTGCTATTTATGAATTAGTTATTACTTATTTTATCCTGAAAATTTGAACTAAAAATCTTAACTATATTCAGAGGGCAGACAATTATTCTTAGGGCTGCTATGAATATCGAGAGCAAAAACCCAGAAAAAGAACAGGAGTTTCATATCCCCCCCAAACCTCCCGATATTACCAATGGAATCAACCCTGGTTACCAAAAAATCCAGGGATCATTGTTCAAAGAAAAAACTTCTTGCATACGAATCAATGGCAAACCCCAACACCCTCCACCTTGACACCAACACAATCAATGATTTGTTGGATACCTCACTATCGCAATTTATGGAACCTATGGAAGATGTGACTCCAAGCTCCACCACCAGCAATACTACCAAAGGCATCAAGGAAATCATTCTAACGGAGGAGGATCGAAATTGCATGTATCCCCGTAGAAAACACTCCCTCAAAATTAAGCTGATTGGAAAACGTATTCAACACCAATACCTAAGAGAAAAAATTACCCAACTATGGAGAACAACATAACCTTTTCCATTGATCGACCTAGGCCATGG